GGTCGTTATTTTTATAGATTACATTGTTAGAGTACCACCACTTAGAATATGGGCCCCTTTAGGGTCTTTACAACGGGTTGCAGAACTCTAAAATTGTATGTACCGCCAATATTACAGTAATGCTAAATATTGTTAGAATTTAGGGATGTTACATGTTCAGCGCGTAAATGCGTTCGAATTCTAAACTAAACTGGGGGTAGGTTGTAATGACTACATACAGTTAAAACTCTTCGGAAACTTAGGACACTAGCTTCTTGAACTTAGGAAGCTATGTTAGCTAGGATATTAGGAAGGCCGCCATGGAATGGCGTGAGGAAAGTAGATCTGGATGCAGACACAGAATATCGAGAAAGAAGGAGTCACGATTAGGAAGAGGAAGAAGTACAAGGAGGGGTTTGTACCCTCTACAGAAAGGTTCAGTAACAACTATCAAGCCTTTCAATTATATGTAACTTAAATAATCTTGACAGACGCCCTAGGCTTGGTAGTCACACACCCACCCAACACACCACACACCCCCATGCTCGTAAACAGCCGGGCATCTACCCCTCGTGCGTGACGTGGTGACATCCCCACCCGCCGAGAGGCAGCAAAGGCAATGGCCGCGGATGAGGGCTCTCGGCGGTGTGTCACGGCCCGGCGACGACCAGGTAGGAGTCAGCAGCTGCAACAGGAGCAGGAGGAGATGCAGGGGGAAGGGAGAATGGGGGGTGGGCGGAGGCGAGTCTTCAGCGACGCCCCATAAATGGCGCGGCGCTTACTGGCGGGAGGACGGCGTCCTGAGTGACGCCCGTGGCTGGCGAGCGGGCGGCAGGTCCGGCGGCGCCAACGACGTCACTTGACAAACAGCAGACGGAAAACGCCGCCGCCGCAGCATTATGGTGTCGCCACAGTGCGGCGTCGATGCCACGGCGGGACGTCGACGCCGTGCTGACAGCACGACGTCGACGCTGAGGTGCGGCGTCGACGTTACGCGCTGGGGCCGCGACGGCAGCGCGACGACGACAGTTACACATGGCCGCAACGGCCGCCCGGCAACAACGATGGAAAGGCACGGCGGAAGCGTAGGGAGCAGGCCTGGTGGAAACGACCGGCTCTGATACCATCTTAGAAACTTAGGACACTAGCTTCTTAAGCTTAGTAAGCTAGGTTTGTTAGGATACTACGAAGGCCGCCATGAGATGGCGTGAGGAAAGTAGATCTAGATGCAGACAGAGAATATCGAGAAAGAAGGAGTCACGATTAGGAAGAGAAGGAAGTACAAGGAGGGGATCGTACCCTCTACAGAAAGGTTCAGTTACAACTATCAAGCCTATCAATTATACATAACTTATATAATATCGACAAAAACATGGGCCCTCTAAGGACTCACAATTGGGCATAACAATCCCGTACTTATCCGTCGATGGTATATGTTAAACTAAGGTAGCTAGGAACGGTAGGAAGCCGTAGAAATGGCGAGAGGTCTTAGGCTACGAAACTTGAGGAGAGAAAAGGGGTAGAGAATAGAATAGAGAGAGGGACACATGGACGAGGGTTGTACCCCCTACAGTACATTTCAATAGCACATACCAAGCCTACCAAAAATATAACAAAATATATAATTTCACAGACTTTCTATGCTTGGTAGTAACAAGCCCACACGTACCCACGCCTCTTAACCTAGGCCGCCCTCTCCCAACACCTTCGGCCCGGGGACCTAGTGGCTCCTACAACGCCCGCTTTACGACCTATGAAACATGCGCCGAGAGTGGAACGTCACCATGCGTGCTACGTTAGCTGACCTGCAGTTCTTCCCGTCCTATACAGACCCTTCGCTATTCGTTCGCGCATGCGAGACTACGTTCTACGTCCTTGCCACCCTAGATGACCTGGTCTTCGCTACTAGAGACAGAGACGCATTGGCCTCCGTGAAGGCCAAGCTGCTGAGGAAACACACCTGCACTAACCAAGGAGAGATGCACCGCTACTAAGGCCTGCATTTTTCTCAAAGGACAGAGCAGCATCCAGTACAGATACGGTCTTCAGTTCTCCTCCGCACAGCCCACACATCTGCCATTAGACCACAGGCTCTCGGCTCCAGTCCCTGACGAGTAAGTACACCCTAGTGGTCCGTACGCTGAGCCGGTGGATCGCCTCATGTACATAATTACGTGCACGCGTCCATATCTCGCACACCCTCTCAGCATCCTGGCTCACTTAGTGGAGACAGGCAGACGCCGATCACAATACTGGTCGGTGACTAAGATGGTTTTGTGTTATCTACAGTGACGGAACAATCTGTCCACAAAATGGCATTGTTAAGCAAGTTCGTGATGTTTTGACAAGTACAGATTAATTATTTACACTCGCTATTTCCAAGATGTTCGTGCAAAAAAATGCTAGATGGTCCATGGCAAACCCCATCCAATATCGAACTGCTTATAGTGAGTACAAGCTGTGGACTTATTCACAAGATGTTAGTGCAAAGAATGCTCGATGGTCGACGTGGACAAATACTACCCGAGTAGAGACAACATCTGTTTCCCTCGAGCATGCTTTGCACGAGCTAGGAAAATTTCTCGGACTTTCGCTAGCACCTGCCCCTTACACCATGATCCTCCAGTAACCACGCGCCCGCTTGGTTTGCGTCAAAGATACCACATCATGAGCCTCTGTCGCTAGGGGCTGAGATTTCGATAGATCGCACAAACGCTAGGATTAGGGCACAGAATCGACCAAAAAAATACTCTGAAGGCTAGTCACAGCAGTGGACATCTAGCAGCTATGCCTAATGTCCACTCTTTAGGTCGACCGCGACTGCTCTCAGCATGACACATGCGCACTTCCGTGCACACCATCATGATACGTGCCATGTTGACGAGCATTAAGGTTGCATAACAACTGGAATCGAACCACATTGTTAAGTTTCACCCTCACACTATACGAAATGCCCTCAAGGTGACTGGGTTAGTAGCTGTATTGCTATTGCGCAAGCCTCAAGTATTAGTGCGCAACATCCGCGACTATACGTAATTTCGCCAGAGCCCACCTAGACTGGACTCTAGACGACTGGAAGCGGGTGATTAGGTCGAACAAGACTCAGATCACTCGATATTGCTCGGATAGCCACAACCACGCATGGATTCGCGAAGGCGTTGCTCTCCATGGACATCAGGTGAGGTAGATTGTGAAGCATGGGGGCCGGCCAGTCATGGTTTGAGTGTGTACAATGTATTATATGCATGGTTACATGTGCAAGATTAATGGCTGCATAGATGGCCAACTCTATCACAGCATATTGTTGGACGAGGTGACTCAAAATCTTGATTTCTATGACTTGACTGTCTCTGGCATGACGTTCCAGTATACTGTACGACCCCAAACCCAAGCGCAGGATCGTTCAAGAGTGTCTAGTAGATCAAGATTTTTTTGTCCTCAATGACCCTATTCCTCTCCCGACCCCAATCCCATCGAGCAGCTCGCCAAACATGAGCAACCTCCCACATGCATGCTACAAACTTGGGAGGAGGTGCACGAGGCATGGGACAGCATTGGGGCTGGCGTGTACAAAGCTTTGATAGAAAGTATGCATAGGAGGATCACAGCAGGAAGTAGGGCTAAGGGGAGATGGACCCGGCATCGATAAGGATAATTTCAAATGCCGCTCATCCTGGGAACATTCTGTCCGAGTGTACTACTTGTGATCTTTGTTGTGCTAAGTTATGTTCTGGTGTGTTTTCTGGACAACATGTTATTTGTCACACAAGCCTACAACAGTGGCAAATAGGACCTTAAAACAATGGCATAAAAAAATGATCATTTTCACATGGGCTGTGATTTACTCCATTTAATGGCCATCATGTGGACAGATTGTTCCGTCACTGTACAAAGTACAACAAGCATGGGGCTAGTGCTAGGAGGACGCAGGCTAGTGGTCCTTACAGCAGACACAGACGCTTCGTGGGTAGACGACGCTGTGACGCTAAGGTACTCCTAGGGCTATTGCTTTAGCCTTGGTGCAGGCGACATCTCGTGGAGGTCCACCCGCTCGTTATCTGGTGCGCAGTCTAGCTATGAGGGTGAGATCTCCGCGCTGGGGCATGGCGGCACAAGAGCTCCGCTCGGTGACCTTCTTGCTCACAGAATTAGGAGAGCGACATGGCTCAGCCCTGGTCCTGTATCCTGACAGCAGGACGATGATCCTTATGTGTCATTGGCCTCGAAAAAGCCCCCCCAAAAAAAACTTCTCAATACTTATCCTTCGAACAATCGAGCCTTCAGGTTCAATGGGCTTTTTCCCCTCGAAATCGGACAGCCCCTAGGCTATTAAGCAGAGTTGCCAATGCCATCCAGAACAAAAAACGAGAGATAATAACAAATACGCATGCCATCGAGAACAAAATCACTTGTGTTGAGTATATTTCAGAGGAATTATTCACCAACGACATATCAATACGAAACATTCCTAAATATTAAAAGGTAATAAAAATGTGGTTACCAAAATAACAAGTTATTAGCATTCATACACATTCTTCTACATTAAAGTTGAAATGTTAGATCCATGTACAGCTTGGATAAATAACGAGGTGCCTCACCAAATATTGAGGTCAGGCGCGAGAGCCTAGCCAAGGAAGCCTCCGAACCACGACGTCCACGAGTGCCCGAACCCAAAGCGGGCTGCCGCGCCAAAAAACATACCCCAAACTCACCTCGCAGGTTCGTCAGCACGAAATGCCTGCGAAGACAGGGGTATGTTTCACAGTACCGCCAGCAAACATATGCTGCTGGCGGATGGATTTTTGAGATGAACATCTGAGATCTCAAGGCTCGACGCGCGAAGACGTTTAGATTCAAGAGGCGGAGAGGCAGGCGAAGAAGGAAATCAAACAGAAAGTTACGACGTTCAGACGGCACGGAGAGGCTCACAGGTTCGGTAGTGGAATTCTAGAACCGTGTGCGTCGGCTAGCTGGCTTTCCAGCTCTCGTTAGGCGAAGTAGTTCCTGGTGCGATGGCCGTTTGCAGAGAGACTGTGAACACTATCTGGGCATTGTACGCGTCAAAAGGTCACATGGAGCAACCGCAACAGCCGTGCATCGTCTACAACCAGACGGATTTCTGCACTCCAATAAAGGCGTCAATTTCGTCCTTTCAAGCGGGCTTGGAAAAAGAAAGGCAAATTGTCCGACCAGGGCGTGTCCCAAGGGCGTGTCTGATTGCGGTTAGGCTTGGTGCTTTCCGGGTCAGAAGGGTCAAATATCAATCCCGGGTAGGTATTGAGCGACAACGTACAGTTGGCACGAGGAATTTCCAGCACTGGCACGCAGCAGAGCACCGCTAGGATCCGGCTTCTACAAGACTAGTTGTCTACACGGAAGAGAAGGTGCCTGACTGACGAGGCGCAGCGCGGCGCGATGGAGGAGGAGAGGGCAGCGGCGTACTATCAGGACCTCGTGCGCCGCGGGTCCAACGCGGCGCGATTCAAGCAGGGCCTCGGATTCGGCGCCGGCTCCGCCGCTGACGTCAGCGGCAGTGGCGGCGGCGGCGGCCCGGCCTGGGTAGGCGGCGCGGGGTTGGCGTTCGTGGCGGCGTCTGGCGGCGCGGCGTCGTTCGAGCGGGAGAATTTAGAATCGGCTCCGAAATCACCGGGAGATGCGGCGCCATTTGCGGCGTCGTTCGAGCGCGATCGCGTGGCGGCTACCGCGGAAGCGCGCGTGGCGAGTGTGCGGGATAAGCTGCGGAAGGGCGGAGCGGATGGGGCGCGCGGGGGAGGGATAGGGAGTGCGGGGACTGGCGGGCGCGGGGCGGATGGGGGAGGAGGGGGGAGTAGGAGTGAGGGGCGGAGAGTGGTAGAGAGGAGTAAGGAGAGAAACAGAAGCAGAAGCAGAAGCAGAAGCAGAAGGCGAAGAAGGAGTAGGCGCAGTGACAGCAGAAGGGAGGGAAGGAGGGGAAGGAGCAGGCGAAGCGGCAGCAGAAGCTGCAGTAGGGAGAGGGGAAGGGGGGGGAGAAGGAGCAGCAGCAGGGGTAGAAGCAGGAGCAGGAGCAGGGAGAGGGGGAGTCGGAGGCATAGAGACAGGAGCAGCAGTAGGTGCAGCAGCAGCAGCAGTGGGAGCAGGAGGAGAGAAGAGCGAAGAAGAGGCAAGGGCCGGCGGGGTAGGAGGGGGAGCGGCAGATCCGAGGATGGAGGGGAGAAACGAGAGAGATGCAGGGGGGGGAGTAGCAGCAGGGAGAGGAGGAGGAGTAGAGACAGGAGGAGCAGCAGTAGAGACAAAAGGAGGAGGAGCAGGAGTAGCAGCAGGGAGAATGGGAGAAGGGAGGGAAGGGGAGGGGGGAGTGAGAGCAAGGCAGTGCCGCGAGTTGACCCCAAGGTGACTTGGAGGGGGATTGGATTGCTGTAATCTGGACAAGAAAGCTCATCCCCTCACCATCGCTTTCCCCCCTCCCGCCTCTCCTCTCCCTTCTCTCTCCCTCCCGACCCCCCTCCTCTCCTCCTACCCTCCCTCCCATCGACCCTACGAGCTCCCTTGTCGTCGCCCCGCCCTGACGGGAATCACGTGCCTCGCGTTCGATGCAGCGCAGCAACCGCATGGGAGAGTGCGCCCATCCATACCCATCCTGACCACACCTCCTCTGCTATTGTTGCCCGCTTCTTGTCGTTCATTTCTCATTGTGTGTTGCCCATTTCTCGTTGCTGCCTGCAGCTGCGCGCTCTGCAGCTCAAGGAGCGAATGGAGCAGCAGTTTCAGAGGGCAGGTGGGTGGGGCAGGCGGGTGGGGCAGGTGGGTGGGGCAGGCGGGTGGGGCAGGCGGGTGGGGCAGGCGGGTGGGGCAAGCGGGTGGGGCAGGCGGGTGGGGCAGTGCGCATCAGTGGGTCAGCAGCAGGGCAGATTAGTGAAGCAGCAGTGTCACGCAACAGACGGTTTGGCATCAGTGGGGGTTCAGGCGCGCTCACTCGCCATACATGGCATGCAAGGTGCAAAAAAACGGCATCCGTATTAAACGGTCCGTTTTAAACGGCCTTTTTTTACGGTGGGTTTCGGTAAAAAACGACGTTTTTTTGTTAGACCTTTTTTCATGATATTTTTTTTTTTTTTTTTTTTTATGTATAAAAAGCACGCGTAAACAAGTGGCCTGTTTGCTAAGGTGGCCTGCATCTTTCTACGGGGTAATTAGCGGCTTTGAAACAGGCATGTGATGTCCATGCCCCTAGTCCGTCGCCTTCTAGGTCTGATTCTGCTCCTACTCCACCATCCCCCCCATCCTCCTCCTCCTAAGCGGCATCCACCTAGTCCTCCCGCCCCTTGTCCTCCCCCCCCTAAGCGTTATTAGCTCGGCCAAAAACAATTTACACCGTATTATACGGTGGTACGAAAAAAACGGTCGTATAAAACGGCCATTTTTTTGCACCAAACGCAAAATGCAACTTTTGACCGTTTTAATCGTATTATACGACCGTTTTATACGATCCCGTTTTAAACGGTCAAAAAGGGTAAAAAACGCCGTTTTTTTGCACCTTGATGGCATGGCACCGCCGCTCTTGTGCTCTCCGCTGGCTGCTCCTTATATGCTGCGTGGGCTTGCCTCTTGCATGTTGCCGGCTTACCTCTTACGCAGTCCCACCTCAAATTCGCACCTGCTGCCTGCCTTGTTTGTTTCCCGCAAATCGTTGTCCTGTCTTCTTCCAACTGTGTGGAGGATGCGATCCTCTCTGAGTTCCCGTCAGCACATGGTCTTGTATCCTCGCACTCCATCCCGTGCCTCCCCGCCCCCCAAAAAGCAGCCACCAACCACACAACAGCAGACAAGGGCACGGGGCTGGGCGGCGAGTGGGAGCGGTTCGGATTTGATACCGCTGCCCCCTTGGAGGAGGAGCGGGATGCCGACGCTGACGTGGATGGCACAGATCCAACGGCTGGGATTGGCCGTGCTGGTGGGTGGTGGTGTGTTCGTCTTTTGACGGCTGGGATTAGCCGTGCTGCTAAGAGAAAGACTCTGTTCTGTGGTGCCTGCCAGGGCTGGTGGTGGTTGTAGAGTCTGCTTTTGAAGCCCCTCAAAACCGTTTTATGTATGAGTGCAGTGCGGTGCTCTGATGGCTTGGTGCAGTGAACTGAAGTTTCCCGCTGCTAGGATGCACAGCTGTGCTGTCTGCTGCGGGTGTCTGGTGGTTGGTATGAAATGGCTGCTGCTGTTGCACGATGCAATGCCTACACCGTCCTACTGTTTCCGCTACCCCTGCACGTGCTGCCTCGCCCCCACCCGCCACCGCATGCGCAGATGCAGTGGGAGGAGCAGCAGACGACCTTGCAGACTTGGATCGCATCAAGTCGTCCTTTGCCTTCTCCTCCTTCGCAGTACGTGCCTGCTGCTTGCTCTAGCCACTGCAAGTGGTGGTTGTGGGATTAGCTTTTTGCTCAGGAACCACCCAAAGCACTGCCCCACCCACTTTGTCTTTCATCCAGTGTTGCTCACTCCTCACGGCCTTACCTTTTTTTGAGAACTCTTGTGGTAAACCCCCCCTTTTTTACCCATGTTAGCTATTGAGATTTGTCGTGCAGATAGCTAATCGGCATCGGCCAGTGTGGTGTGTCTTTAACTGACCTGCGAGCACGTGGTTTGCTCGTGGTTTGAGTGCCTCGCATCGCTTGTCTATGATTTCATGTGGCTCTGCAGAATCGTGGCGCTACCACGCAAGAGGCACACGAGAGTGCGATTTTCGGAGCACCACCTGCTGCGGCCAGTGAGAAGCTGCCACGTGGACAGTCCAACACGGAGTCAGAATCCAGTATGAGAAGAGGGCGGCATGCTGACGAGGCACGCCGGCCAGGCGACCAGGGAAGGGAAGAGAGAAGGGGGGAGAGGAGAGGGGAGAGGGGAGAGGGGAGGTGGAGAGAGAAGATTAAGGAGGAAAGGAGGGGAGAGGGGAGGGAGGAGAGGAGGGAGGACAGAAGAGACAGAAGAAATGAAGGAAGAGGATATGAGAGGGAGAGGGAAGCAGAGAGGTCACAGGACAGGAGTGAGGAGAGGGAGCGAGTGAGGCAGCGGGAGGAGAGGAGGGAGAAGGAGAAGCCAAGGGAGCAGCAAGGAAGCGCAGCAAGTTTGGGTGGTGGATCGGCGGCAGCAGCAGTGGACGCCAAGCTCTCTCTGTCTCGAAAGGGGGCCGCCAGTGGCGCTGGTAGTGGCAGGGCCAGTGCAGCGGATGCATTCACAGCGGCGGTGGCGGCAGCACTGGGAGTGGATGAGGGGGACGACGAGGAGAGCGTGCCGGTCATCGTGGGGGTCGTGCTGGACGCACCACCCTTGCACACACACTCTACCCACTCTCACGCCCATGGCCTCGCGCAGAACCCCCCTCATGCTGCTACTGCTGTGCCAGCTGGCACGCCTTTGTCGGGGAATGGGGGGGCGTCAGGTGGAGGAGCAGCGGGCGTGGGAGCCGCTTCAGCGTCGGCTGGCCAGGAGCAGGTGCGTTGGGCTTGGCTCGGCTGGCCAGGAGCAGGTGCGTTGGGCTTGGCTCGGCTGGCCAGGAGCAGGTGCGTTGGGCTGGGCTCGGCTGGCCAGGAGCAGGTCCGTTGGGCTTGGCTCGGCTGGCCAGGAGCAGGTGCGTTGGGCTGGGCTCGGCTGGCCAGGAGCAGGTGCGTTGGGCTGGGCTCGGCTGGCTCGCAGGAAATTTGGAGCCCAACAACGTGTGAGTGATCAAGTATGCTGGAGTTGGCACGAGGAAGGGGGGGCGTGCGCTGAGGGCAGGGATGCGTGAGAGCGAGTACTGAGGAGGGCATGTGAGAAGTGCAAATGCTTGCATTCTTTTTTTTTTCCCTTGCTATTCTCTTTCCTTTCCATTTTTTCTCGTTATAAGCAGGCTGCTCCTCGGCAACAAGTCCCTTCGTGGAAACAGCGTGCAATGCAGTTGAGAGAAGCAAGAGCAGCCAATCAGCAACAATGATGGTTGAGACGAGATGTTGAGTGGATGGCTTGACTGAAGGATTGAGTACTGTTACCTGTTACGATTGAATTAGTTGGCCTTTTTTTATATTGCATGTTTCTGTGCTTCTTATGTCTGCCTCTCCCTATTGCATTATTGTGTGCTTTTCAAACCTGCTTGTTTGGCATTCATTAAGGTACAACGTGTACGGAACCAACAGCCACAGCATGCACCCACTCTCATAAGCATAACAACCACAAATCCTTCCTATCACAACCCCCTTGTAGACTCCACAGCTCGATATCATCATTGCCCAGATTGCAATTGCCCTGTTTGCACTTGTCCGACCTCTCGACTCACCTCTTCCCCTCACATCTCCCCCTCATCGCTGCACCGTCCCCTCAAGCCCTCGCTGCGCATCGCCTTCCTCCATCAAATCCTCCTCGTCCACCACGAGCCCCACTTCCATGGACCCCCTCTTTGATCACTTCCCCTCCCCTCCCCTCACCGCTGTACCACTCACCTCACCACTGTACTGTCCCTTCCAGCTCTCGCCTCGCATCGCCTTCCTCCATCAAATCCTCCTCGTCCACCACGAGCCCCAGGTCCATGGACCCCCTCTTTGATCACTTCCCCTCCCCTCCCCTCGCCGCTGTACCACTCACCTCACCGCTGTACTGTCCCTTCCAGCTCTCGCCTCGCATCGCCTTCCTCCATCAAATCCTCCTCGTCCACCACGAGCCCCACTTCCATGGACCCCCTCGTCAGCACCTTTATCAGCCCGTGCCCGCTCCATGGCCCTGTTCTCCTCCCCTTCGCATTCTCCCTCCCCTCCCCTCCCTCGTGCCCCTTCTCTCCTCTCCTGCCCTTGCCTCTGCTCCCACCTCCTTCACTTGAGTCCCGGTGGTTATTGTAGAGTGCTGCCCTGTCACTCGCCCCCTCGCTGCTCCTGCTGCTCGTGCTTGAGTGCCGGTGCATGCTGCCACTCCTACTCTCCCGCTTCTCCATCTCGTTCCTCCCACTCCTGCTGGCTCTCCTGCTTACACCACTCACACCACTACCAACACCACCACCACCACCCCCAGCACCACCATCTCCATCACCACCACAGCCATGGTCCTCACTTAGTCTCTCAAACAGCCCCGTTCTCCTGCCCCCCTCCCTGCTCCACCTGCTCATCTCGCCGCTCGTTGGTACCACCCGTGACAGGGCCTGCATGTCCTCCCCATAGCTGTTGGTGGCGGTGCTGCCCCGGGCAGTCTGTGTGCTTTCGTTGGTGCTGCTGTACGTGCTGCCACAGGTGTCACTGCCAATATGGCCCGTGCCAGGCTGTACTGTCTGGTGCCATCCTGTGCATTCCTCGCCATCGCCCCTGCTCCCGCTCCCGGCAAGGAATTGCAGCAGCACTGTGGCAGATGGTAACTGCGTTACCGTGTTGCTGGCTGCACCTGTACCTGCCGCACCTGCTGCAGATGCCACTGTTGCTGGACCAAGAGTTCCAGTACTGTTCGTGATCTCCCTGAAGGGGTCCCCCATGGTTGTCCTTGACGTGTCAGCTGGCTGCACACTGATTGCCACGCCACCTGTACTGCCAGCTGTACGGCCACCTGGGCTGCCAGCTGTGCTGAATGGGATGCCAGCTGTGCTGGTGCTGGCGGCGGCGCAGGGCTTGCAGTGGAAGGGTTGGAGGGGCGGAGGAGGGGTGAGGATGTAGTCGGGCGACTGGATGGAGTTGATCTTGCCGTCCTTGCGGTACGCCTCCATCTCCCTGCCTGTGGTCAGGTGCATGGGGGGGACGGTAGGAGGAAAGGGAGGGGGTGGGAGGTGAGGTACGGTACATTGGGCTAGTTCAGGGAGGTGCCACTGGTATGCCTCCACCTCCATCCGCCTTTCCCTCCTTGCAGTACGCCTCCATCTCCCGGCCTGTGGTCATGCGCATGTGTATATTGGGGACGGGAGAAGAGGAGAGGGGGGGGGGAGGGGGTGTTGGGGGGGGGAGAGGGAAGGGGAAGGGTAGGGAGGGGAAGGGGGGAAGTGAGGTTCATTGGGCTGGCACAGGGAGGTGGTACGGGTATGCCTCCGTCTCCATCCATGTTACCCTCCGTACAGTACGCCTCCATCTCCCTGCCTGCGGGCATGTGCGTGTGTAGGGGGGAGGGGGGTGTTTGTGATAAGACTGGGCTGGTACATGGTGGTGCTGCTGGTGTGCCCCAACTCCCCGCCTGGCGGGATGTGGCAATGGGGGAGGAGGGGTGTTTGCTTCCAGTAGCGCTGGTGTGTGGGTATGCCTCCAACTCCATCCATTTTCTTGTGATACGCCTCCATCTCCCTGCCTGTGGGGATGTGCGGTGGGGGAGAATGGGGTTGATAGGGTGGAAGAGGGGGTTGGTGGAGGGTGGTGCAGGTGGGTTTGGTGGGGTTGGAAGGAGGGGGAGGGAGGGCTGTTGTGGGTGGATGGGTTCGACAATTGTGGAATGTGGAGGGTTTGGAGGCAAGCATTGATGCCGCCATCACATATCCATGGCATTGCACACTCACATATGGATGGGCACATGACACATATAATGTCACAATCAGGCACATGCCGGCATTACGCCATCATGTTCCCATGGTCATCGCACCATCACACCATCACACCATCACACCATCACACCACCACACTACCACACCACCACATACCCATGGGCACGAAGGTGCGGGTGCGGAAGTGCTTGGGTTCCGTGGAGCCATCGCTGTACAGGACGTAGTCATGGTACGTTGGGGAGAACTGTGGGGGGGCGGGCGGGTGGGGAGTGGTTGAGAGGTAAGAGCAGGATCAGGATCAGGATCGAACAGGAGCAGTAAGGTCTTCCGTCGTTGTACAGCACATAGATATGGTATGATGGGGAGAACTCGGGGTGGGCGGATGGGGAGTCAGGTGGAGAAGAGATAAGGGGCCACTTGTGGTATGGTCTTCTATCGCTGTGGAGCATGGCACAGCATAGCTGACCACAATGAGCACACAGTCACATGGTCATGGTGCGATGGGCAGAGCTGGTGGGGGAGGGTTGGAGGAGGGGCATGGGTGTGGTAGAGGGGGAGGAGGTGGGGAGGCCCATGGGAAGCTAATAAAGCCTGTAATCTCACGAAAGCTGCTGTGCAGGATGAACAATGCCCCTAGCCACATACCTGGTGAACAATGTTGACTGACAGCGCACCTGGTGAACAGTGTCGTTCACAACATCCCCCATAGCAGCAGCATGTCTGAGCCTCTGCAGAAACCCGCCCACCTCCTCCGCTATCCCGCCCCCTGCGCCACCCATACTAGCCGCCATGAAGGGCGTGAAGGGGAAGGCCCAGACGAAGCCCCCTGCAGCCAGCGCCATCTCGCAGCACAGCAGCAGGTTCTGCAGGTCAGCGGCGTCACTGGCTGAATGCACCAGGCCTAGGTGACCTGCAAAGAAGACCACTATGCCCTGGGGGAAGGAGAGGGTGTTGGATGGAAGAGTTGGAGAATGAGCCCATCTCGCAGCACAGCAACAGGTTCTGCTGGTCAGTGGCGTCACTGGCTGACTGCACCACCAGCCCCAGACGGCTGCAACAAACACCAATATGCCCTGGGGTTGGGAGAGGGTGTTGGGTGGTGATGGAGAAGGGGCCATCTCGCAGCACAGCAGCAGGTTCTGCAGGTCGGCGGCATCGCTGGCTGAATGCACCAGGCCCAAATGGCCCGTGACAAACACCACTATGCCCTGGGTGTGGGGGAGTAGAGAGGATAGCATGGAGGAGACAGGAATTCAGCAGGGGTTGCTGAGGGGAAGTGGGGCACGACGAGCCAGTTAGAGGGCACAGTAGGTGAGCAGCAGGGAGACAAGACACATGCCATGGAACGTGGTTTTCTTATCTTACGGAATGCTGAGTTCCGATGCTTGCTGACTCACCTGCCAGTAGGTGAGGACGACGACTGCCGTGATCATGACGAACTTGGGGATGGGGATCATCTCTTTGGTTCAACTACAGACAACAGTTCGTCACCTGGTACTAGGAATTGTAGAGCCTGGTGCACTACCTGCCAGTAGGTGAGGACGACGACTGCCTTGATCATGACGAACTTGGGGATGGGGTTGAAGGAGCGCAGCAGGTCGTGGCAGCCGAAGTAGAAGAAGAGCAGCGAGTACACCGCCACCGAGTACGACACCAAGTACACGCATGTCACGTAGGGGTAGCCATTGGTGAGTGCGAACACACCCTCCTCATAGCAGCCCGTGCTGTAAAGAATGAGGCAGAGCACGGCCAGGAGGGGCTTGATGAAGACGAACTGTAGGCAGCCGCGCTTACAGTGGCGGATGAAGTGCCTGATGGGGGAAGTAGATGGGTACAGGTATGGGAGGAGGTACTGGAAGACGTGAGTGTGACAAAACCTTGCTGTTGGCATGTCAGTGAGATTTGCATAGATCTGTTGTTGGCACGACAACAAGATGTGTAAATGGGAGCGGAGGGGACATCATGACATTGGTGTCTGCATGAATGCGCGAATACATCCAGCATGGACATCAGCACATCATAGAACACGATAGCGTAGCGTGGACAGAGAAAGTAGCACCAGGGACTGGTCCTGTTGTTGAAGGCCGGGGCTTCTCATCCATTCCTGCAGCAGTGACCCTAATGTCTGGGTTGCGTTATCATCCTCACCCATCTAATGGTATGGGTGGCAGCCAGCACGTGAGGAGCAGCGCTGAGGGTTTGAGAACCCGCCCTGTGAGGCTGATGGCCACGGCTCCTGGCCCTCCTACCCACGCCAGACAGAGCGACAGGAAGTTGTAGATGACCCATGCTTCGTATCTGTGCAGGAAAATTAAAAGTGAAGTCAATACCGTAAATAAGCGGCTTTATTGGTTGATGGCTATTGACCCAAGATCATGGGATCTAAAACCGTGTGATCGAAAACGAGTACAGCTCTCTGTTGCAAGGTGCGAAGCATGATCGTGAGGCCTGCTACAGGTATGATGGTCCTGGCCGATCGAGTGCACAGAGCGCAGGAATCTGATAGCAATTCACATTGCGAGCTGGGAGGCATTCCTTACACGTCACGAACGGTCTTGAAGTACATGGCATAGTCGTCGGCTGCCAGAGCTGCATATGACATGGCAGCATACACCTGCCAGCAACACATTGACAAGATTTCAACAATCTTGTTCAATCTTCCAAAACCTACGGAAACGATTTTTCCAAGCGGGAAAAAAATCTCTTACAGGGACCATGAAGATTATTCTTATTATGTATCTCTGGTGAGTGGGCTCTGTGTAGTACCGCAGATGCATCAACACATGGCGGAAGGCGATCAGAATGGCCACACACGTGCAGGCCAGAGCCACCATTTGTGAAGGAAAGCTTGAAAATAGCTCTGATTCTGTTTCTTCTCCTCCGCTTCCTCCTGGATTTAAGGGTCCGAAAAGGACGGAAGCTTCATCTTCAGGCATAACAGCCATAGTGACGAGGTATGGATACCTGACAGATAAATTCTTCTGAATTGTGTGCCTGATACGCTTGTTAGTACAATGGTACGAGCATGGTACTGTCAGAATCGTCACTTGCGTTTATACTATCCGTGGTGCTACGATTGCTCACATAAGCACAACGTTTTGCTAACGTGCAAGGCACAAGGGGCGGTAGCTACTGGAGTGATGACAGAGGAACTACGATTATCATTGGAAACGAAGTTCTGGAGGCGGAGAAGTCGGACACTAAGCTCGAATGGTGAGCCTAAGGAATACGGTTTACATGGAATCACAAAGAAATTCGGTCGGTCCTAAGCTACAAACATAGCCTGACCGAATCACCCGGCGGAGCTGGAAAAGTCAGCTGAAACATCTGTCAGAAAGAGCCCTGCTTCAGAAAGTTGCTCTGAGCTATTCTGCCTCGGATTCTCAGCGAGATGGTTCTGTCGGTCTGCGACTCTCGCGAGGACGTCAGCGAACCAAATGGCGATTTCAGACAATCCCCAGGAATTCGCAATCGAGGGCGTTCGCGGCAATTACAAATAGAAATATCGGATCGTTGAGATTGAGCACACACCGTTTAGATTACAGCGCTTCACTATAAACTTTGGCTAAACAAAAATATCGTTTCTTTGATATACAATGAAAGAACTTGAATGGTGCAAGAGACTGAGTATAGAATCTGCATACACAAGTACTTGAAGTAGAAATTAATACTGGAAGTACCTCCAGTAACAGTCATTATTAATAATTTGTAACACCAGAGTCAGTGTTACAGCCTTGCGATACTTCAAGACTTACCCAAGGATCTTTGTTGGAATGGTAGACTAGTAAGACAGCGGAAGTCTTAGAACTTGTAAAGTGTTGACAGGAATTTACTAAAGAACAAGTTGATAATTGAAGTTGTACAAGCTACTTTTATATCTGCTAGAAGTACCTAATGTACCTGTTCGAACTATTTGCGCAATGCGCTCTAACCGCTACTGAAAAGAGCGCGACTGTTCGCGTGACTGAAACGGCTTGATGACGTAATTATCCAGACGAGCGTTATTTGCAGACGTCATTCTACGGATGCTAACTACAGTGTAACTCGACAATATCTATCGAGACTACTTATAGAAATGCTTAAGTACGATTTTACCACAACACTCCCCTTCATTTCTAGAAGTCCGATAGTGTCACTTCTTGATAATTCCGCAGAGCTCGTTGCAGTATTGAAGCTTATGACATGCCAGCTTCTTGGTGAGAAATTCTGCAGCCATTTCATTGGTCGAACAGTAGACCAATCGCATTCTCCCCTTCTCGACTTCATCTTTGACGAAAAATAACCGTAACGGAATATGTTTCGTCGTGTTGGCGAAACCAGGTTGATGCGCAATTCTGATTGCACTTTGATTGTCGCACTGCAGGGTGAACTGTGTACGTGTCGTCAATTTCGCTTCCTCCAGTAGCTCTTGTAGATAGAGTTCTTCTCGGGTAGCTGTGCAGGCAGCTATAAACTCGGCTTCAGCGGATGAAAGAGCTACTAGCTCTTGCCTTGTAGAGTTCCACGAGATAGTCCCAAAAGGCTCGAGACGATAGATGAATCCGCTGCGAGATCGACGATTAGTAGTCTCTGCTGCATGATCAGCATCGACGTACCCGTTAAAATATAAGGGTTTCGTAGTAGTAACTAACAGAAAGAATGAATGACTAGAGTGGTAAGATACAAGGCAATATAGTCTAGAGAGTTGTACCCACTAAGGCACAAACATATATAGTTTACAGTAACTGCATAAGCTATGTTTGACACATCCCCTAGACTATATACGGGCAGTGCCTAATTAGGGAAGAAGCAGCTTAGGGCGGCACTACTAGTCCAGCCTCTGAGACAAGGGTCTAAAGACCAGTAAAAGGAATATAGACAAGGCAAGAGCAAGACCAGGGCGGCACTACTAGTCCAGCCACTGGGAGAGGCCACAAGGCCAGTCAGGGTAAAAAAAAAATTATATATATATATATATATACATACATATATAGATATATATAAAGGACAGTACAAGGTCAAGACCCTAGCAAATGAGAGGCTACAGGAACGAGACCTAGCTGTACACAGTGCCGCTGATAATCTTTAGGCGCAAGCGCCTTCGTGAAGATATCAGCTGTGTTGGCACCGGAGGCAAAGTGTACTACGCGCGCCTGGCGGCGCTGTTGGAGCTCACGCATGAGGAAGTACCGCAGCTGGATGTGCTTCGCTCTGCCCTCGAGTCGAGGCTCCTGACACAGGAGGATCATGGCCCTCTTGTCAGCGTACAAGACCGGGGCAGCGCTAGGCCGCTCACCTAAGTCTGTGAGCAAGAAGGTCAGCCAGCGGAGCTCCTGTGCCGCCATGGCACCGGCGTAGATCTCGGCCTCATAGCTGGACTGGGCAACAGACGATGAGCGGGTAGCTCTCAACGAGACAGCACGTGAACCAAGGCTGAAGCAGTAGCCCTGCGAGGACCTGAGGGTCTCGGCGTCGTCTGCCCAAGAAGCGTCTGTGTGTCAAGTAAGGACCACTGGCCTGCGTCCTCCTAGCACTAACCCCATGCCCGATGTACTTGCAAGATAACGCAAAACCCTCTTAGCGGCAGACCAGTGCTGAGGTCGGTGTCTGCCTGTAGCCACAAAGCGAGCCAGGATGCTGAGAGGGTATGCGAGATTTGGGCGAGTGCAAGTCATCAGGAACATGAGGCAACCCACCAGCTCTGCGTAAGGACCACTGGGCTCTGCTGACTCCTCACGAAATGGAGCGGAGAGCCTATGGTCTAGGGGCAGAGGAGTGGGCTGTGCGGAGGAGAACTGAAGGCCGAATCTTTGAAGGACCTGGCGCACCAAGTGTGACTGAGTCAAAGTGATAGTGCGCACTGCTCTGTCCCTGGAGATCTGCAAGCCAAGGTAGTGGCGCAGTTCTCCAAGGTCAGTGCTGGTGTGTCTCTTCAGCAGCTCTGCCTTCACGGAGGCCAGTGCGTCCCTGTGTGCTGTGGTGAAGACCAGGTCGTCTATGTAAACAAGGATGTAGAACGGGGTCTGGCCAGCACGAACGAAGAGCGGGGGTCTGTAGAGGACGGAAAGAACTACAGGTCAGCAAGCGTACCACGCAGCGTGTCGTGCCACTCACGGTGTGCCTGCCGCATGCCGTAGACGGGGCGCTGCAGAAGCCACTGGGTCCCAGGAGGGAAGGTGCCAGTGAAGCCCTGCGGGCGGCGCAGGTAGACCTGCTCGTGTAGACTGCCCTGAAGAAACGCAGTGGAGAAGTCAAGGGAGTGAAGCTCGTAGTCGCGCTGAGCTGCTACGTGTAGTAGCACCCAAAGAGTAGTCATCTTCGGGGTCGGAGCGAAGGTCTGGAAGAAGTCCACCCCCTCACGCTGACTGAAACCTCTAGCCACTTAGCGCGCCTTGAACACAGGCGGATCTCTAGGAGGGCGCTTCACCTTGAAGAGCCATCGGCCATCGACTACGTTCACCCCAGGTGGGGGAATTGCATCGACGAAGGTGCCGGTGGATCTCCAACATGCCATCTCTTGCTCCATGGCAGCTATCCACTGAGAGGCCCAGGGTCCCAAGACCGCCTGAGCGTAAGTGCGAGGGGTCGGGATGTCGAAAGCGTCGGGGTCACCCTCAAGGACTAGAAGCATAGAGCAGAGATGGGGAGCAGCCTCGAACAGGAAAGCAAGCTCGTACTAGCGGTCCTCCAGGACGTCATTGCCGAGGGCAGGAGCACCTTCGACAGACGGAGGACAGGCAGGGTCAGAGACCAGAGCGGTGGCGTAGTCAAGGCGGCGACCGCAGCGACAAGGGCGTCAAGACTCGAGACTGGAACAGACGGGTCAGTAACGAGGCAGGCAAGGATCCGAGGAACAACATGACGAGCGACACGCAGGTAGTCAGACAGAGGGGGGGGAGCAACAACAAGGGAGGACGGAGGGGGCAACGGGAGAAGGGGAGGACGAGACACATGGGAACGAAGCAACATAGGGTGAGAGCGCGAGACAGGAAAGGCAGGTCGAGCACGGGAGGGGCGGCGAGACCAGACATGAGACGGAGGAGTAGGGTCAGGAGACAGAGGAGGGGACACAGGAGGGGAAAGAGGGGGAAAACGGGCCTGAGACGAGTCCGGAGGAGGGAACACAGGGCCATAGACAGGAGGAGGAGGAGGCACGGGCACGGGGTCAGGGGACGGAAGGCCCTGCAGAAGAAGAGAGGACACATGCGGGGACTGCTGCAGCGGCGGTGTGAAACCGACACCGGGACCGCAAGCGGCCTGGCGGCTACCTTCAGAACACTCCACGCCAGCACCCCCAGAACGAACACCCCCAGAGCTCAGAACCCCTCGGGCACAGGTACCACCCTCATGCCCGCCGGGACAAGCCACGACAGGAGTCCCAGGACTAGTACCCACCCCAACTCCAGCACCCCCAGAGGCAACGAGCGGCGGCGGCGGTGGCGGCTGCAACGATAGCGGCTGCGAAAGCGGGGGCGACGGCGGTTGCGGAGGTGGCGGAGGAGGTGACACAAGAGAAGGGGCAGGCGGCAAGGACTACGCTGCAGGACCACCAGAGTCAGCAGACTCCTCAACCAGGACAACCATTGTAAGGGGGGTGACGTAAGACACACTAGAGGGGGCAGGACGGGGAGGGGGAGGAGGAGGGGCGGCGACGACCGGGGAAGGGGGGACCAGGAACAGGGGGGTAACCGGGGGACCGTGGTGGGGGAAGCGGCGGAAAAAGGAGATAGACTCGTCAAAGGTGACGTCGCGGGAGTGAAAAAACCGGTGAGACTGCGGGTGGTAGAAGTGCTTGTCCGTTCCAGAGGCACGAACGTGAGCAAGGCAGCCCTAGACGTGGAACGCAGACGCGTCACCAAGTGACCCAGACCAAAGAAGAGTCGGCGAAACCTGAGGCTGCTGGGGGTGCGGCCACAGGTTAAGCTGGTGAGCGGTGTAGCGAACGGTGAACGGCCACAGAAAATGGGTTGCACCGGCATGGATCATGGATGTGCGGGCCACCTCCATGACCAAACCGATGCGTCGCTCAGCGACCCCATTCTGCTGCGGGGAGTCCGGCAAGGTGAACGTCTGGGTGATGCCCTCCGCACGACAGAAAGAACCAAGGACACCAGAGGCAATCTCGCCACCACTGTCAGAGTGGAGGCGCAAGACAGGGAGACCGCGGTGGACACGCGCAGCGACAAGCCACGGGATAAGAACGGCAGGCACGTCGGCCTTCCGCTCCAGTGGGAACACAGTGGTGTAGCGCGTGTAGTCGTCGACAAGCACTAGGAAGTAGCGCTCTCGACGCGGCCCATGGACAGGGGC